CAGTAAGGATTTTTTTTCCTGAGGTTTTATCTTGTTCTTTCATTTGAAACGTAGTCCTTCATTTCTTCGCTTTACTTGATTCTGTGTTGGTTTCTGTAAAGCAGATGGAACCAACACCGCTCACAGTCTTAAAGGAGTGACCTCACGTAAGAGATGAAACTTTTCATTCAGCCCTGCCTCAGTTGGCTGTCTTTTACATCTCTGTGCTTTTCCAAGCAGCTTATTATATTTTTAATACCTCCTGGTAGTTGAAGGTGTGCCAAGACCTGTCAGTGTCCCAAAGGGAAGGATCTTAGCACCTAGATACAGGCTGATTGGAAACCCAACCCCTAGGCATCAGCTTTTAAACATATGCAAATACACACAGTCATGTGGGATCACAAGCGTAAGCCCCACGGGTCACCAGAGCCAGGCAATGTGGAGGAGTCTCCGGGCAGTGGCTGCAAAAACTGGGGCACTGCACATGCACAAAAGCTCCCTCCTGGAGACGCTGCACTCAGAGCACAGCAGAAGGAGAGCGGAAGATGCTGCCCATCAGTCTGCATCGCAGAGAGCGTCCCAGCAGTCTCCCAGATGTGACGTTCGATTAGATGCTGGCCCCTCCAGCCAACGCTTCAATGTAAGAAGGCGAGCCTCCTTCACTCTAAGTCTGGGCACGATTGAGCCAGGGACAGGCAAGTGCAGGAGCCTTTGAAGAGCTGCTGCTCAGGTAGCTAGTCTTGTAGATCTCAGGACACAAGCCCCGTTCGTTTTCAAAGCCAGATGTTTGGGGGCTTATTTCTCCCATGTGCGTCCCACATGCCAGGATGCCTGACATGGGGTCTGAACCCCTCGCTCCTCAGGGAGAAGCTCTGGTTCCGAGCCCCAGCCCCTGCCCCCCAGCTGTGAGATGTGTACCGGGGATGGGGTTTATGGTGAGAATGTGCCCCCGCCTCCCCTGCCTGCCTCAATGTGGCTTTCTAGTTTGCCCGGTGTGGTTTGTCACTCAGCTAGCCTTTAGGTTTTTTTAAGAGGAAACTGTTCCATGTGCAGCTGTAGCCTTGCCCATGGGAGGCGAGTTCCTCCTGTATGGCCATCTTGAACCAGTTGTGCAAGTACTTGTAATACACTGGTTTTTTATTCTAACTGTGGCTTCATAACTGACTTGCATCCCCAGCCTAGAGGCCACTTGTGACTACAAATATCGGGAGAGTGATGACAAGAGTCGAAGGTATTACTTGTTAGAGTAAGAGTGTAAGAGATTCCCTGATTCACTCTAAAGTCTTCTCTTTTAAATTTGGGATGTTTGTCTCTCGTCTTGTTGCTATTTCAGGGGAAAGCACTGCCACATGGAGTTTTTCCATATTTGCCTCGAAAGGGGTGGAGTGTCGAAGCTGATCCTTGTTATAACATCGGTGCCAACAGCTGGCCTGGAGTAAGGGTTCACAGCCAGCTTTTCGGATTCCGGTAACCGGGAGCCCATCATGAAAAGACTCCTACAAATCTCCCTCTTTGAGGCCTCTGGCCAGGAAAAGCAGGAACCTTTGATCTCCTCCAGAGCCAAGAGGGTCTCAGGATGGAGCGGAGACAGACAAGAGTCCTGGCAAAGATCTCAGCTGGGTGCTCTTATTCAAAGCACGTCTGAGATGAAGCCTCTCCACTACCGGGTTTGCCAGACCACTCCAACCTGGGGCCGGGCGAGCTGGCCCTCAGAACAGTTGCCTGTTTATTCTACTACATCGCGTTCAGTTGGTGACCGGCCAGCTGGTCTATTTGCCCAAAGAGGCCCAGCCCGACTCCAGCCACCTCCCCACTCCAGGGCCCTTGGCTGCTCCCTTAAGAACCGCCCTTCCTTGCCTTCTGGATAGAACCGGTCCTGGATGGCTTTTAGTGTTTTGAAGCCCCTGAGCATAAGCAGGGTGTTTAGGAAAACTCAAGATGGCCAGGGGCCTGCGGTGCTGGCTTCAGTTCCCACTCGGAGAGCAGTGTGACCAGTATCGGAGGACCTGCTTCTGCCCAGGCTCTGAATAGGGCCCAGGACAGCTGGATCCTCCCCCACCCCGCCAAAGAGAATTTGGCTACAGTGCGTTCACACTGGTAGGGGTGAAGTAGAAGAGATGCTTTCACTTTTTAAGGGTGTTTCTTATCAGAGTTTTAAGAAATCTTCCCTGATCCCAAAGGGTTGAAGGGAGAAAGGTGAGTCTCACAGGTGGGGACCTTCTTCAGAGCTCTTCTCAACACCCTAAGGGCTGAGGTGGGTCCCAAAGGAGAATCTTCCATGGAAAACAGCCTGTCTGTGATTAAAGGTCCTTCGGGCAAAGTGTTCACGAGTCAAGGCCCCCTATTGCTCCCTCCAGACTGAACGGAAAGATGCTCGAGCCGGTTATGCGACTGATCAGCAGAGCCAGTGCCTGATCCCCTGGAGCTGAGTTCATCCCAGATGCAAAGGTCCGAAGTCTGGGGTTGGGGGTTGGAAAAGCTCAGGCACAGAGAAACCTCTGGTTTCCTGCAGGCAAGGGGCTGCGGTGGTAGCCCTAGATAGAAGCCCCTTCTCCCGGTTCCTTCACAGCCTTCCCTGTCTGGCCAGTTCCCCACCTTGGTTATCAACATTTCACAGAGCCACCACCTGCCAGTCCCAGAGCTCCCCGAGGGCAGCCCTGCACCAGCCATGGAGGCAAGAATAGCCCCCTGCCCACCCCCTCGCCCCCGCTGCAGGATCTGCTGCCCTGTCGGCCACCGCTGGTACTGCTGGTACCCACACGGCCGCAGCCATCCTGCAGGTTCCTGCATCACCAAAACTGGCCTTGCAGCGACCACCCCTTTTGGCCAAAGGAGGGCGCTGAGGAGGCGCACAACCAGCAGGTGAGTGAGGGGAACACCACACTTCTGCTCAAACGGTGTTTCAGATCTTCAGACTAAACCACGGTCACCTTGCCCAAACCCGGCCCCCAGGACACAACTGCATCATCAGACGTCCAAAGACGCCGCTGCCTTGCGCAGGAGTTGCTCCAGCAGGAGTGACAGCCCCCGAGGGGCGTCTGGGCAGCCCGGCCATCGCGAGCGTTGAGGGGGACACAGGCACTCAGTGGGTGGGAACCGGGAGTGGCAGACACACCACAGCAACAGAACCCGCAGACAGAGGCCTGAAACACACCTCACGCGACTTAGAAGCCGGTTTACAGCCATCTGCCCCTGAAACCGAACGGGTTTACACGGGGTTTCTGCTATGGGGCTCATACACGCTGTTCTCTAAGAACGCAGTTACTATACGAATCCGGGGAAGATCATGTTCAGTTTTG